GCCTACAAAAATATTAAAAGTGTTCCAAACAAAACCCTATAGGTGGGGCCAGGGAGATGGCTCAGTGGAATAAGCTCTTCCCTGTCAAGCACAAGGGCCTAAGTTCAATTCCCGGTTCCGCAAAAAAGAAAAAAAAAAAAAAATACTATAGGTTAAGAACACAAAAATTAATTTTAAAAAACACATCTACCAGAAGGAAAACATGCAAAAGAAAACATAAAGGGACTGTTAATACAAAAGCCCAAACATGATTTTTCAACTTCACTAGTGATCAAAGAAATACGTTTTAACCTTAAGATATGGCTTTTCTATCAAATCAGCAAGATTTTTTAGAAACACTGGGCAGGAAGAATATAATATATACAAAACTCAAACTGCTAGATGGAATAAGCAGTGTATTTCTAAGGATTTTTTGGGGGGTGGGAGGCAGCTGGCTAGGCTGCCTTAAGGGTGGATCTGGTAAGGCAGGTGGTGCTGGGGATCGAACCGTGCACCTGTCTGTGTTTGCTTAAACAACTGAGCTAAGTGGCAGGCCCCAAGCAATGTATTTTTAAAAATATGTCAACAGTTTTAAGCGTTCATACTCTTTACTAACAATAACAAAATTTAAATATCCCAAATGACCAATATTAAGGAGATACTTTTATAATTAGGTAAATTATTCAAAGTCCAAATATTCCACAGAATAATTAGCATTTATATTGAAGAGTCAAAGAGTTATATTAAGAAGAAAAAGAATGCAGAAGCACATCCAGCATGAAAATTCTTATATTATTGAAGGCAACATAGGCAAATGTCAGCAAAAGCATAATTATGGATAACTTTAACCTACTTCATATTTTTCTATTTCCAATTATTTCTACAAAGCATTTACTACTTTTTTTGGAAAGTTTTTTTTTTAATTTCATGCAACAGTTAACTGATCAAAAACCATACTTTGTCATGATACATATCAGTGCATAAATATATAGTAAATAGTGAATGCTGAGAGCCTGGCTCCAGCAGAGCTGAGCTCGTCATGTGGACTGAGAATCCAGGTGATGCTAGACAGCTATCCTCAAGAGCCTCCCTGACTTTCTCTTAAAAAGACAATAGCTAAGACAACTCACTGTTACCTACTATGACAAGTACTATTTTTGGAACCTAAGTTTAAACAGGCATTTTTATGGTAGTCCATCAGTTCATACAAAAGCAGGCCATTATACCAATGTAAGATGAAGCTGTCCTGAGCTGAGGTTCACTAGCTTAAGTATTTATGAAAAGCAACACTTACTGGAAAAACTTTTTCCAGCTATTCATGTACACTTGTGTACACAACTTACTGAGCTGACTAAAGGCTGATGCCCATTATTCAATACATGTATTAACTAAAATCAAAAGCCTTTCCAACAGCAGACTTCCGGAGTTAATCTCGAATGTAACTGTATACAGAGAAACTGGTCTCCCTATGAAAAAGAATGCTCCAGTCCTAAAACCTGAAAATATATAAAGTACATTAGAAACTCTATGAAGATCAATCACACACTGGATAAAAGGCTTGAATATTCAAGATAACCACAGTATTTTTACATTAACACAATATAAAATACTGTAAGTTTACTATTAAATACTCTATTCATCTCGAAGTCCCCCAAATAAAAGTACTGCCAGAATTATCTTGACATGATACCTCCAGATATTCTTATTTATGTATTTCAAAAAATTTCAAGAAAATGGTATATATAGTGCTGATACTGTCAGTTAATTTTTTTTTTAAAAAAGACACTTCATAAACTCTGTCTGGATATCAAAATAAATTAAGTATGATCATGCACTGTTATTAATCTGCATATTTGCATTCTCTAAGAAAATGCATTGGCTGTTATTTAAGACTATATTTAAGAATTCCAACTTCTTAGCGCCTGCCAAGCTTATAAATAAAGCATTTTCTGAATTACTAAATTGGTTTATCTTGATAAAATAATATAGTAAGAATCACAGTTTTTTTAATTTTCCACTTGATTTCCACATCTAAAAGAGATTCTCTTAGGTACATCCAGTTTAAATTTACCTCAATGTCTACAATGTTGCATTCAAATCAGTTTGCAACACAATTTTACAGGACAGAGAGGCAGAGGAAAAAGAAACAAGAATTAAGATATCTTAGGTACATGTACCAACTCCCCATGATGAATATAATCATTATGTACTACAAACATGTACTAAAAAAAGTATTTTTTTAAAAAAATCAACTGGTCAGCCAGGCACAGTGGTACATGCCTGTACTCCCAGCATCCAGAAAGCTGGGTCAATTAAAATAAATTAAAACAAACAAAAAAAGACAAGGGAAAAAATTAAGATTCCTTGAAAGCAAGCGCCAATATTCAATTATTTCCCCAATCTTGTACAACTGTAACACAGATTTGATGATATAAATAGGTAATACAACAACCATTGCTAGCTATTTCTGCTCTGAAATTTTATAATATGCATTGTTGTATGTTACCATTTCTGTTTGTTCTATTTGTTTTTGCTTCTGTTTTTACTCTTCAATTTGTTTTTTTTTTTTGTTTGTTTGTTTGGGGTTTTTGGGGGGTCTTTTTTTGGCGGGCCCAGGGATTGAACTCAGGCCTCTGCAATTGCCAGGCGAGCGCTTATTCCACTGAGCCATCTCCCTGGCCCCTGTTTTTACTCTTCAAAATAAAATAAATTTTAAGAAGGGGGAGGGTGGGTGAGGGGGTAAGGGGAAGAGGGGGAGGAGGGGGAGGAGAGGGAGGAGGGGAAAGAGGAGGAAGAAGAGGAGGAGGCAGCTGAGGCTAAGGCTGAGGCAAGAGGATCACCACAAATTTGAGGCCAACTTGAGAGTTCAAGGCCAACCTGAACTGCATAGTGAGAACCTGCCCCCTCCAAAAAAAAAAAAAAGATGATTACTTGTTCAATAACTGCTCTTGCTATAACTTAATGTGCCTCCCCTCAAGCTGCAAAGCCATAATGTGACTGAGAAACTAAAATAAACATAACTGATACATTAAAACTGCTTTATGTCACAACTTTGAGATATAACAACATTGATACCTGACCTAAAATTTTTGATATTTAAACTCTAGGTTGTTCCATGTTTGCATAATTACAGAAAAGAGCTTGTCTTATATGACTGGCACGTCTCCTAAAACTGCAGTATACAGCACAGGCAGTCATATACAGTGGTCATGCACTTAGCCTACCATTTGAGTTTACTTAGAAACTACACATTTTCAGAAGTCAAAACCTTACTGAGTGGCATAAAAAACATAGAAAATAAATTACAGATTCATATTATTTTACTTTGGTATTTGATTAATACTGTGTACAGTCAGAATAGATAAGAAACAAACCACTGGTATTTAGTTTAGAAGTTTTAAACAATGATCAAGATAGTAAAATAGAAACAAGCCACACTCAACTTATCTGTGTAAGACAAAAAACTCATCAAGGCATTCTTTATGTCATCTTTATAATGATTTTCTACTTTCAAAGAAAATTTTGGTTACCCACCTTCTCCCCATAAAAAGTCAAGAAATTAGAGTTGTACACTAAAAACATGTTTAGTAAGTAGAATTCAACATCATTAGAGAGATCCATCAAGATCTTGATTAACAGATCAGAGTAAGATATAAGAAAGCATGAAAATTTTACAGGTTTTAATAATAAGGCTTTCTTTAAAAATATTATTAAATATAAAACTAAAATACACTTACAACATGCCTTAGAACAGTCTGCTTTGTTACTTAGAACAAACCCCAAAGTCTACTTCTCTCATGAGCTTCATTTAAATTCCCTATCCAGTAATTTTAATATAAGAAACTACCAAAGGAATTCAATACATAATAAAACAGTAAGAGGCATTTCTAAAGACTGTTTAAAACTCATATTTAATATGCTATATGGATGAGACTTACTATTTTAAGTTGAACACCTATAAAGTGTTTTTAAAGCCAGTCATTCATCAGTTTATAAGTTTTTAGTTGTAGATTTAATTAACCAATATGATTTTTCTTGAAATATTCTTTGTAAATCAGCAATATGCTGTCTTCATATGTAGAAACAGAAAACTAGGGGGAGAGTCACCTATAAAACTTTAGAAAACCAAAATTTCCCTCTCTTTAATGCAGCATAAACAGTGTTGTCACAATGTATTAAACACTATGCAATGTATAAAATGTTCCTAATCACACAAGAGTCTCTTGGATAATAACAATTTACCACTTACAAATCAGTCAGATGTCATCTTTCTTCCACTATAAAGTCTCAAGACTGCCACAATATATAGTATCAAATATGCTAATATGCAGAAGAGGTTAGATCAAACATGTAATAAACTACAGATCCTTACACCAATGAGAGCTAGAACAAGCAAATATCTAATAAACCTTTCAAAGCTTGGAGGGCTAAAGAAAAAAATTTGCAAAAGCCATTCATTCCAATAAGAGTGACAACTCAGGACAGAAAAATGTGTAACAAGGATAACTAGTTTATCATTCATTCAATCAGGGAGAAAACACAAAATTACTCTTTTAGGAAAAACAGTTATTATAAAATTTTAAAGAAAGGTAGAGTACTATATTTCAGACACCATAAGCTCAAGTGCAGTGGCTATAGAAGAAAGCAAGGTGCCTATTCCTGAGAACATACTTATTAGTAATGCTAACAGTGAAAATTAAACCTAAGCAGTGCTAAAAAGGCAATGATAGAAGCTCAGTTAATGTGTTAACAGAGAGACTTGTGAGAAACTCCGTTATTTAAAAATAATCTTGTCTCTATTATCACTTAAATATTTTTCTGATGTGCTAAATGCACAAGAAACCTAAGAACAGGGTTTTTCTTTTTAAATAACTAGCCATGTCTTGCTAATAGACTGCAGTCTTCAAATTTACACAGAGCTGCAGGTCTCCTGGATTTTTTCAAGTGTCTCTCATCTAACTGAGTCTGACAGTTGAGAAATACCATCAGGTGCTTTAGTCAGTTTAAAAAACATCCTCTACCTGGTATCTCTGCAGTGATTGTCTTGCTGCTCCCTGAAACCTCTTCATCATCATCTGATGAGCTCGTGCTTGAGTCACAAGTCAGGTCACTATCACTGGTACTGCTGTCCTGCAGCAGGTTGTACTTCTTCCTTGCAGCAGCCTCCCGTTTCTGCCTCAGTAGTCTGATCCTCTCCTTGTGCTTTTGGCTCCGATGACCTTTAACCTTCGCGACTCGGCCATTCTGCTTATCACTGGATTGCCGGTTTTTCTTGGCAGCCATGGTAGATGTTTCACTTTCAGAACGGGACCGCCTCGACTTACGCCCAACTGTGGCACCAGACACTCCTGAAGGGTCACCTTCTACTGCTACTTCTGGCTGAGCAGGTTCATTCTCTTCTGCAGAGGACAATGTATCTGAATCAGCCAGGTGACCACTAGAGGAAGGGGAAAGCATGCAATGATTAGAGGAGTCACTCTCATAAACTCGGCCTGTTGTTGGCTTGTCACTCTCTGTGGACGCTAACTGAGACTCAGAAGAGTCCCTTCTCAGTTCCATCAATAAGCAGGGCATTGAAGAAAGAACTGTAGAATCTGCTACACTCTCTTTTTGAACTTGAGGTTCTAGTTCCACAGATCCATCTTCCTCCTTGACTGTCTCTTGTTCAGATGTTTTTGGTGGAATTTCAGACTCAATGAGTTCTTCAACTTTTCCCACTGCCTCCTCCATCTTCATTTCAGAATTTCAAGTTAAAGATCATAGAGCAAAATCTAGGAAACGATAGCAAAGCTGCAACAGGAAAGCAACCTGTACAAAAACACAATCAACAAAAATCAATAAACAATCAAAATCAATAAATAGAAGATTATTTAATCTATACAACATGCCAACTTTCCTAAGTGGTAGCACTCTATTACTGAACTTCCAAGGATAGTAAGTAACCAAATAAAAGATTTTCAAGTTTATTTTTTGGTTTTGTTATATGCTGGCCCTAAACATACTATACAGCCCAAGCTGACCTCCAACTCAAAGTGATCCTCCTGACTCAGCCTCCCAAGCAAGTGTTAAGGTCACAGGTATGCACCACCACATCTGGGTCAACTTTAGAACCTCAAAGTGTTCATAAAAGGGACATTCAAACCTCTGATACAGTTACTATGTAAGCTTGACTTTAATGGAAATCAAAAGGAATGCTTCAAAATAAGCTAGTGTAGGGCTGTTGAGATGGCTCAGTGGTCTAAAGCACCTACTTAGAACAAGCTTAGCAAAGCACAGGGACCACGGTTCAATCCCCCAGCACCACATGCCAGCCAGCC